ATCAATCAATTGTTTAGTCCTAATTAATTTTGCCTGAGAACATCTGACATATTAACATAAGTACCAATTAAAATCGAATGGTGGTGTAATCACCATCTCAAATATTTGAACAATGTGATTATATAATATGTACTAACAAGGTTAAAAAAAATACACTTAGAGAAGGAGATGTGAAGGAAGAATAGGTATTGCTTCAGGGTTTGGAAAATGCAGTTTCTTCTTCGTCTGCCTCCCAGATTTCAAGATTCAAGACAAACTCTTGGCAGCCCCTCCCGCTGACTTCTGACAGCCCAGCGCACCTAGGGAACTTTGAGCTGAGATATACCCTCCAGGTGTCTGTGTCGATCATAATCAGACAAAGGATGTGCTGTGCTTTTCCTTAAAGTCAGTCTGCGTGAGGTCCTCCCAGTCACCTCCCAAGCTGGGCTGATGTGTTCACGTTAGAGGTTTCTCATTCAGCCCTGGGGTGTCAGCAACACCAAATCAAGACAGACTAGTTGAGAGCCTACTATGTGCTGACTGATACCTCCCACATCTCTGATAACATCCCCATCTTATTTCCTAGAAAGTCTACACCCTTCTATACAAAACAGGCATTGCTTTCTGGACATCCCAGAGATACGCCACATCCAACGTGTCCCAAACAGAACTGCTTCTCTCTCCTCTGAAGACTACTCCTGCCAATGAATTGTCTCTTTCACTGGTACCCAGACCAGACACCTGGCCTTTGGGCTGACTGCCTTCTTTTTCTTCATCTTGCATTTTTGCAGTGGCCATATTTTGTTATTTCTACTTCCATCCAAGCCTTATAGAAGGCATCAGAGCCAGGCATGGTGGCTTATGCCTGTAATCCCAGCACTTTGGGAGGCTGAGGTGGATCACCTGAAGTCAGGAGTTTGAGACCAGCCTGTCCAACATAGTGAAACTCTGTCTCTACTAAAACTACAAAAATTAGCCAGGTGTGGTGGCACATGCCTATAATCTCAGCTACTCGAGGGCTGAGGCAGGACAATTGCTTGAACCCAGGAGGCAGAGATTGCAGTGAACCCAGATCGCGCCACTGTACTCCAGCCTGGGCAACAGAGTGAGACTCCATCTCAAAAAAAAAAAAGGTGTCAGAATGTCCATACCCATTTTTCAAATATTAAGACCCCTCCATGCAGTCAATGGAGAGCCACTGCTCCAATTTCCCAACATGCCCCTTTGCCCACCACTTTAGCACCTGCCTCCATCCTCTGACCCTTCCCAAGATCCAGCAAACAAATGGCTAATGTCTGGCATAAGAGGGGGCTTCCAGGAATTTGTTGCAACAAAAGGTCAGTTTTGTTTGGCTAGGGCCTGGCAGTCCCTTTCCTTACTAGGTGACCACTGTGTGCTCTGGGCCAACTTCCTCACTGGACATAGTAGCACAGTGTCTAGGCCTACTGTACGTTTTTTTTTTTAATTTTATTTTTAATTTAATTTAATTTTTTATTTTTTGAGACAGAGTCATGCTCTGTTGCCCAGGCTGGAGTGCAGTGGCCAGATCTCAGCTCACTGCAAGCTCCGCCTCCCGGGTTTACGCCATTCTCCTGCCTCAGCCTCCCAAGTAGCTGGGACTACAGGTGCCCGCCACCTCGCCCGGCTAGTTTTTTGTATTTTTTTAGTAGAGACGGGGTTTCACTGTGTTAACCAGGATGGTCTCGATCTCCTGACCTCGTGATCCACCCGTCTCGGCCTCCCAAAGTGCTGGGATCACAGGCTTGAGCCACCGCGCCCGGCCTTTTTTTTTTTTTTTAAGACGGAGTCTCACTCTGTCACCCAGGCTGGAGTGTAGCAGCATCATCTCAGCAACTTCTGCATCCCAGGTTCAAGTGATTCTCATGCCTCAACCTCCTGAGTAGCTGGGATTACAGGCGTGCGCCACTACACCTGGCTAATTTTTGTATCTTTCAGTAGAGACGGAGTTTCACCATGTTGGCCAGGCTGGTCTCAAACTCCTGGCCTCAAGTGATTCGCCTGCCTAGGCCTCCCAAAGTGCCGGGATTACAGGCATGAACCACTGTGACCAGCCACTGCTAATCTTTTTTTAAAGGATGGGGTTCACATGGACAAAAGTGCGTCAGACCCAATGAAATCCCAGTGCATCCTGCTCTCAGCTCCAAGCACCGACCTCCTCCTTCTCAATGCCCTCCTCCATCCACTTCCTTCCTCTTTTGCTCACTTTTCTTCTTCCATCCACACTTGTTGATTGCCTACCGTGTGTGCCAGTTCTGAGGATTCAGAAACAAGGAGGCCCCACTCGCTGCCCTCTGGGTGCTCCCAGCCCAGAAGGCACGAAGATGCAGACAGGCTCAACTGTGGTACCCGGCGGTCAATGCCGCATAGGAGCCCAGGCGCGCCAGAGACAGAGAGAGAGAGAGAGAGAGAGAGGCCTGCTCCAGCCATGCTGGGTGAGGGAGGCCTCCCCAAAGACATGATTTATGAACCTCAGGAGACAAGCTCCCCAGTGCCCCTGCAGAACTCCCCTCACCCAGGATGGGAAGGCACAGCACTGGGGACGCTTTGGAGTTCGACATTCTCTTCTCAGCCCTGTCGATGTCCGCACAGCTGCTCCCAGCACTGTCTGAGATGGGTCCCCTTTTCCGATTTTAGAGGGCTAGTGAGGATTCACTCTTGGTGGTATCATCCCGGGCTGTGAAAGTGTCTGGCTCCCTGGAGAGGACCAGCACCACTCACTCAGAGGAGGCTGCCCCTGGCAGTGGAAGGGCCTGCCTCCAGGGGGAAGCAGGAGGAGGGGGTGCAGGCGACCACAGAACTCAGCCAGAGGCAGCTGTGTGTGCTTTGGTGCTTGAGGCTTCACGGATCCAAGGCTGCTGGGGTGGCCACCACACTAGTGCTAAGACCTTAGCAGGAGGGAAGGCAGGGGTAAGGACACTTGACCAGACACGATGCTGGCTTGCTACCCCAGCAGCTCCCTGTTCTGCATCCCACAGCAGCCTCCCTTATCTGTCTCCTCTTCTCCCCTCCGCCCCACCCACACCATTGGCCCCAAAGGCTGGTTCTGCCCCAAGCATTTCCTGTGTGTTCACACCTCTGAGCCTCTCCTTCTCCAGCTGTGAAGTGTGACCTGGCCCTTGAAGCCCTCAAAGTTCTTCAGTGAAAGCCAACTGTATTCCTCCAGCTGGAATTACAGTGACTTTCTCCGTATTCCCAAAATGTGCACAAAACTTATAAAGGTGTGTGATGACCCTTAGATATTTGGGTATGATTTAATTGCATGCATGTGTCTTGCTGCCTGGGTCAATTTCTTTGAGATCAGTGACCACATGTGACCTTTGCCTTCCCAGAGACCTGCACAGACCCATCAATGAGGCCTGTTCTCAACAAACACTTGTAAATGACTCATTCCTACTGGGGTCTAGAGGACGATGGATCCCAGATCAAGTTGCGTGTTGCCTCATTTGTCAAATTCTGCCTATACATCGGCTGTTCTTCCTTATGATAAATCTGAAGATCAGAAACAGGACAGAACAACAAGCATGCAGGACAGGTCCATCCTCCTCAGAACACCCTAGAGTTAGCTCAAAGCAGGAAAACAGCATGAGTTGCATCCAGCAGCAGACATGCAGAGAACCCTGCTCTCCCCTCTACCCTGAGGGGAAACAAGTGCCTTCCCTGCCTAGGGAAAATCCTACTCATGCTACCCATCTCAGGTAGCAGCTCCTCTGCGAAGCCATCTTCTGCTGTCTCAGAAAGAGTCAATTGTTTCTTCCTCTGCATCCTCTCTTGCCTCTATTCAGGTGTTGAGCAGATAGTATTGAAATGATCTCCTTGCCTATTTGATATTTCCCACTATGGCAGACACATATGGGAATCAGTTCTGGGAGCAGTGGTTTAAAAGGAGGCAGACCACCAAACATCAGGAGAAGAGCAGTCAGGGTAGGGAAGGACCGGGAAACCCGTGCCCCATGAGAGGACCGAATGTTGAGTTGGTCCCGGACATTGCTGTGTCTTGGTGTAATCATCAGTAGTATCCACGTTCACTCTCAAAAGTGTCCTGGTTTAGTCCATCACATATATAATCACCTTTCATGTGAGAAATATGTAAAGAAGCCACAGGGGTTCGACCCACGGGAGCCTTGGGGAGCCCATCACTGTCTTCAGTCATTCAGGGTGCAGCCACATGCTCTGCGTGGCCTCAGAGGACCTGTGGGAGAGGATGATGTAACGAAAGCCTTTCCCCTAGTCTCTGTTTTGTTTACTGTTGGGCACCCAGGACTTGGCATCATTCCTGGAATACATTAATCTCTTGATAAATATCTGTGGGAGAGAGGAAGAAAGAGAAGGAGGTAGGGGGAAGAGGGTAAAATCTGGCAAAGAGCTGATTGCATTGCAGGCCTGTCCCCTCAGTGGGGGTGCCCGCCAGAGGCTGAAAGACCCCTTGCTGGGGATGGCACGGATGGTGTATGGGCTGAATTGCACCCCCCTCCCACGAAAAGGATATGTCCAAGTCCTGACCCCCAGTGCCTCAGAGTGCGACTGTTGCAGGTGTTAGTTGAGACGAGGTCATACTGGAGTAGAATAGGCTCCTAATCCAATATGACAGGTGTCCTTACAAAAAGGCAGTCATGTGCAGACAGAGGCCTACAGGGAGAAGTCCACGTCTAGACAGGCAGAGGCTGGCATGATGCAGCTCCAAGCCAGGGACTCCCAAGATTGCCAGAATACCACCAGGGTCTAGGAAGAGACAAGGAAGGATTGTCCCAGAGCTTTCAGAGGGAGTCTGCCAACACCTTGATTTCAGACCTCTAGCCTTCAGAACTGTGAGAATACATTTCTCTTGTTTAAGCCTTCCAGTTTGTGGGGGTTGTTTATGCCAGCCCTAGGAAACTAACACGGAAGGAATTCTGCCTTGGGTGGGAAGATGCATGAGATGGATGATCTCTGGACTCACTAGGCTTCCATCCGGGAGCCAGGTAGCAGCGATGGATTTGCCTCAGGCAGTCTTGCAGACCCACTGTGCGTCCATCGGGCTGTGCACTAGTGGGCTGCATCCAGGGAGCCAAGCACAGGTCCATCTGAGCAAACTGCAGCACCAGCATCCTGAAACCTCCCTTCTCTGTCCAGTCGGTCATGGGCTCAGGGCTCTTTGGCTCCTGGAACATCAGAGTGCATGGAAACTCACAAACACCCAAGTCCACCCCTCCCTCACACTGCCGGATTCCAGACCCAGAGGCGTGGGGGATACCTGGACTCTTTCCCTGCTCTGTGCTCTTTCCATGTTGTTACAAGAAATAACTCTGTGGGCTACTCATTGTTTTCCAAATAAGCCCCAACCTTCCCACCTGTAGGAATCCCCTTTGCCAGAAATTCCTCACCCCAGCCTCCTCCTCTCAGCCTGCCAAGATGCACTAAGATAGGAGACCACTTCCTTCAGCTGATCTGTCCTGGGTGATCTCTGCTTCCCTTCGTCCCCAACCCTGCCCGCCACGCAGAGTCCTCTGGCCTCACCCCCAGGCAGTCCACCCTTACCTGCCACCTGCCATGGGCTACTTTGCAGGGGGCTAATGACACCTTATTCTTTCACCTCTGTTCTTGTTCCTGCTAGTCATTCAATCACCCACAGATATTTATTGAGAACCTACCTTACTGCAGAAATTACATTAGGAATAAGAATAAAAAGACTATAGTGTTGTTGAGGAACATGGATACTTCAGCTTTCACTTACAATACAGAGTCCCAAGCAGAAAAATTGGAAAACTACAGGCTGCCCTTGAGGTCAGAACTGGAGAGAGTGGTGGGCAGCTGTCAGGCAAAGTCCACAAGTGCCCCAGGCCTCCTCCCAGACCTCACTGCTCACCACTGGCCCCTTCCTGTCTGCCCCAGCCACTCTGAATGTCTTGCTCTTTTCTCCACACTCCAGTTTTATTCCCACAGAGCTTTTGCACGTATTTCCCCCAACCTTGAACATCTGCATCCCTCCCATTCTTCTTTGCATGACCAGCTAGCTCCCTTACTTCCGTGTTCCCTGTGTACCATACCCAAAACAGCACCCTGCCGCTCTCTCGTTCCTTCCCTGCCCTACTGTGCTTCGGAACGCTTGTCATTAACGGAAATTAGGTATGTCATTTGTTGACATGTGCACTTGTTTCTTGGCTGTCTCCCTACTAGAATATAGCACATCTTTCAGAATATAGTGGGCACTCAGTAAATCCTGAGTGAATGAATGAATGAATGAATGAATGAATGAAATGAATGAAGTGACCCCCAAGCTGTGAGTTAGATGAACAAAGTCCCTGGCTAAGGGAAGCGCATTGAAAATGGAAAGAGAGGCACACTCAGGAGAGAAGTTCAATATGGAGGGAAGAGGAGCTGGAAAGTGGGAATGGACCCAGGAGAGAGAAGCAAGGGTCTTTGGAGCCATGCTAAGCTTTTCCCCAGGTCCCTGGGAAGCCACTGAACGTTCAGGCTGAGAAACTGAGCCACGTACACTGCCTACAGTGTAGAGAAAAGGTTGGAAGAAAACAAGGGTGCAGACAACCAATTAAGACGCAGACATCCGGATGAGAGAAAAAAAGGGCCCGGGCTAGAGTCATGGCCGAGGGGCTAAGGAGAAGTAGATGGGTCCTAGAAATACTCAGTAGGGGCTGAACCTGGTGGCTCACGCCTATAATCCTAGCACTTTGAGAGGCTGAGGCGGGCAGATTGCCTGAGCTCTGGAGTTCAAGACCAGCCTGGGCAACATGGTGAAACCCCATCTCTACTAAAAATACAAAAAATTAGCTGGGCGTGGTGGTGAGCACCTGTAATCCCAGCTACTCGGGAGGCTGAGACAGGAGAATTGCTTGAATCCGGGAGGCGGAGGTTGCAGTGAGCTGAGATCACGCTACTGCACTATAGCCTGGGCAACAGAGTGAGACTGTCTCAAAAATAAATAAATAAATAAATAAATAAATAAATAAATAAATAAAAAGAAATATGATGTAGGTAGAATTATCAGAACTCAAAGGATTGAAAGCCCGTGTGGAATGGCTCTCAGCCTGCGTGCCACCTTTGATAGTGAGTTCCCTGAAGGCAGGCATTTGTCCGTTCTGAGTCTCCCATGCCTGATATGCTACCTGCTGAATGCATGTCTCACAATTCTGTCACTTCCCACTCCTTTGATGTGACATAGCCACCTGCACTAAGTGTTTGAGAGCAGGGATTACAGGGGAGAGAGAGCCTTCTATTTTGGTCTTGTCATTAAATCAGCTGCCTCAAATTATTTTTAGACCAAGGACAGGTAAAAATAAATGTATAGGAATAGTCACACTTCTGTGCAGGAATAATCACACATCTTTGAGAAGAGGAAAGCAGATGTAAGATTTATTTTCAAATAGTAAAGGGCCAGCATTTTACAGCTGCAATATCCTTTACTCCTCAGAACAATCTCTCTGGTGTTCTGATTACTAGCTCCATTTTAGAAAAGAGAAAACTGAGGCTATGAGAAGCTCAGTAACTTACCCAAGGTCATCCAGCTAGAGACCCAGGATTCACGCTCAGCCCTTCTGACTCCAAAGCCTGGTTTCCCTCCACTAGAGTACAATGCTCCTCCCAGATTTCTGGCGCAGACACTGTGGGAAGTAGGGAGCAGGAAGAACAGTGGATTTAGAGAAGGCCTTACCCTGGGAGTCTCTGCCCTGGTATTTATTTCTAGCACTTTGTGTGCTTTGAGGTTCTGTGATAAAGGTGAGCTCTAGGATGCTCTCTCTGGCCAATCCCATCCAATCCTTGGCCTATCCTAGCCCTGAAGGAAAGCTCCCATAGAAGGGACTGCCAAGTCCTGTTTCTGTGCCAATGGGGAGCACACCGGCCACCCACAGCTTCCTTGGGGCAGAGAACTAAGAGCTTCGGACCAAGAGGCCGCCCCTTTTCTGGGCATGAACTGCCTGTCCTGCCAGTAGAAATTCCAAACTTGGGACTGACAGTGGCTTGCTCAGGTTCACTGAGAGTGCCGGACCTTTCTGAGAAGCAGGTCGGGGTGTCATACTTAAGACGGCATACCCTGTGGCTGCAGGCAGCACCACTGCCCCCATGCCCACCCGGCAGCCTAAATGGCTCAATCATACTTAAAAATGCTTCAAATGCACTTATTGAGTTCTTTGTATTCCCTAGACTCTATGATAGATGGGAGGCCCTTGAGTTTTTAAAACTGAACTCCTTTATCATGAGTTGGGTTCATCACTGACTTGATCAGATTGGTTAATCTAGTTGAGCCCATTTTCCCTCTGAAACAAATGGAATAATTTTAACATCCATCTCATCTTTATCATCCTTACAAGTATGCAAAGTAATATCTGCACAGTACTTGGCCCATAACAGGCAGTGAATGGTGGTTGTTATTATAATTAATAACTACCAACACATTGGCCACATAGTAGGTGCTCAATAAAAATGTAAGGATTGGAAATTAGGCTCAAAGTACTCCCTTTAATTCCCCATTTGAATTCCACCCAGAGCAGAGAAGATATGGGAGAAGAAAGGGGAAATTCAACATATTCGGTATTTGGAAACAAGACATCCAAAAATGTCTGTTTTCTTTTCTTTCTCCTTCCTTCCTTCCTTCCTTCCTTCCTCCTTCCTTTTCTTTTCCTCTGTCTTTTTCTTTCTTTCTTTTCCTTCTTTCTTTCTTTCCTTCCTTCCTTCCTTCCTTCCTTCCTTCTTCCTTTCCTTTCCTTTCCTTTCCTTTCCTTTCCTTTCCCTTCCTTCCTTCCCTCCCTTCCTCCCTTTCCTCCCTTCCTCCCTTCCTTTCTTCTTTTTTTTTTTGAGATACGGTCTCACTCTGTGGACCAGGCTGGAGTGCACGGCACAATCTCATGGCAACTTCGGCTGCCCTACAGGCACATGTTACCATGCCTCGCTAATTTTTGTATTTTTAGTAGAGATGGGGTTTTGTAATGTTGGCCAGGCTAGTGTCGAACTCCTGACCTCAAGTGATCCTTCGCCAGCCTTCCAAAGTGTTGGGATTACAGGCGTGAGCCATTGTGCCTGGCCCCCAAAAATGCCTGTTTTCTTTCTTTTTTTTTTTTTTGAGACTGAGTCTCTCACTCTGGCACCTAGGCTGGAATGCAGTGGTACGATCTCAGCTTACTGCAACCTCTGCCTCCCAGGTTCAAGCGATTCTCCTTCCCCAGCCCCGCAAGTAGCTGGGATTACAGGCATACGCCACCACATCTGGCTAATTTTGTATTTTTAGTAGAGAAGGGGTTTCTCCATGTTGGTCAGGCTGGTCTCAAACTCCTGACCTCAGGTGATCCGCCCACCTCAGCTTCCCAAAGTACTGGGATTATAGGTGTGAGCCACTGCGCCGGCCTAAAAATGTCTGTTTTCAAGTCACAATTATTTTCTTTACTGCAGCTGTCAGGGGCTAGAATTACTTAGGAACTGTGACCAGCTTTTTGGGAGATGAGTTGGTGGAGGAAAGACCTACTCAGATGAAAAAGATAACACACCAGACGAATAGTCCCTCCAGTGCTTATGTCATCTGGCAGAGCCCACTAAGTAAGGAGGAATTTCCCTTGTACCTGACAATAACATTTTTTCAAAATAAAATATGTTGAGGCTGAGAAGTTTATCTTGGCTGAGCATTGTACCATTAACTCAAGATTAAATGCATCCTGTCCAAATTCTTTTGCTACTTGTAATGGGTCTCAGGCTCGTGGTCTCCAGATGTTGATTATATGGGTGTCCCAAGAAAAGAAGCTAATCGCTCTTTGCGGTAGAAGCATGGAAGTGGGGCTGTGGTGGCTGTCCCGGTGCACTCCCTACGCCCCCCTGCAGAGCCAAGGCGGGACTCCTCCAGCCACCGCAGCTTTGCCTGCTGAAGTGCAGAAGATTGGCGGAGGTTCAGCTGGGTCCCTCCCTGCACACTATGTTTAGCTGAAAGCAGCTGCCATGCGGCCCGTCTAGTGGGGTAGCCCAGTCTCACAATTGACTGATGTGGGGGACAAAAGCCTAGCCCTTCGGTGCTCCAGTTTGGGACAACTTCAAAGTGCTACCCCAGCTCCGGAGCTCTGAGCCCTATGAGACTAGCGGAGGCTGTTGTTGTGAGGCCTTCAGAATTGAACTTCTTCTGGCCACACTTACTTTCTTTCTTTTCTTTTTTTGAGACAGAGCC